ATAGTGTCATGGCCAAGGTAACTTCAGTAAATAAGGGTAGGGATGGATGCATGAGGGGAGTGAAAGCAAAAACATGAAAAGTGGGATATACGAGTGAAGCTTTTGTGATTGATCACTGTCCTTTTGGATTCTTTGGCTTCAAGTGTTTCTCATTTCAAGGCTCAACACGCACACATATTCTCAGTTGATTCAAGCAGTTCAGTACCAACCCTCTTCTCGTGAGAAAAGTAGTTCAAATGCGTATTTTTATACTTTTTGCGTTGTTGGTTAGACTTGCGCTAGCTAGATCGGGTGTATGAATATTTTGAATTCATTCTTTCATTGTGCAGGAGCTATCTAACAGGAGGAGATGATATGGAATACTACCTCTTTTAAATATAAAAAGTAGTTAAAAATTCAATTTTGTTCTAAATATAAAACATTGTCTTTCATGTTTATTTATTTTTTACTCAAGTGTTAAGGGATTTTCATTCTAATGTACATTATTAATAAAGATATTTTAAGAAAGACAACATGTATTTATTACAAATAACTAATTTAACTAATTTTTTTTAAATATTTGCATATTGGTTATTTAACTCTTATATTAAAAATAAGAGGTAGTTTTTGATTGGTACGGCTTTTATTTGAGAGTACTATTCAATTTTTAGGACTAAATTGAATATAAAACTAACTCTTATATTAAATATCAAAAGTAATATTTTAAAGTGAGTTCTTTGTTGTTTAGAATTTTAATCTCAAATGATAAAACCTTTTGGAATTTGGATTTATTAATTGTTATATAAATCAGATTTATTTAAGGGATAATTAATCTCAAGGTCCTTATAGTTTCATCTGATTTTTAATTAGGTCCTTATAAAAATTTTTCTTTTTATCAGGTCCTTTGACTTTCATGTGTTTTTAATTAGGTCATTCTTTTTTTTTTCTTTTATCAGGTCCTTATAGTTTCACTTATTTTTTAATTAGGTCCTTTGTAGTTTTTTAAAAATTATTTATTAACTTTATTCTTTAAAATTAATTTTATTTTTAAATTAATAATTATATAATTGGACAAAATAATTAATATAATCATTTAGTAATTAATAAATAATCAGAATAATAATTCTACTTAAATATAAATTATTTATAATCATATTTTAATTTTGGAAAAATTTATTATTATAATTTGAATTTTATAATTATAAAAATTCGAATTGAAAATAAATAATATATTTGTTTAACTAAAAATTTAAAAGAATATTAACATAAGATTGTTACAATAATTTATTATTTTTAAAATGTTATTATTTGTAAAATAAAGAATAAAAACTACAAGGACCTGATTAAAAACAAAGTAAAACAATAAGCACCTGATAAAAAGAAAAAAAAATTATAAAGACCTGATAAAAAGAAAAAAATTATAGGGACCTGATTAAAAACCAGTTAAAACTATAAGGACTTGCATATTAATTATTATTTTATTTAAATAATATGTAGGTTTTAAGCACGCCTAGTCTCATCAAGTTATTTAAAGATCTATATTTTAAAGAGAATTTTAAATAGGTTTCAAGCCCAATAAGCCTTTTTTCTCTCAGTAAGTATAGGTATTCTTCTATTAAAGATAATGTTATTAAAAACTATAATAGGCACCAAATGTGAACATCTTTCCTAATGAAAATTTGAAAATTAGTTTATTGTGTTGTGAGGGAGTACTCCCTTTCACTAAACCTGATTTCTATTAGTAGGCCCAATAAGTCTTTTATAGCCCAAACTTGAGCCGAGAAGTATTAATGCCCCCTCTTTTTTAATTCAGTCTCCTAGGCCTGCAGAAAAAAAATCCTAAAACTTTTGGGCTCTTCACTGAAAATTTGTCCCTTCTGGTCGGTCCGTCACTATTCTCCGTCAAAAACAAGCTTTTACTCTGAACTCTGTCAAGTTACCCTGGCTCATTGGCGCGCCTACAACAAGACCATGGCACTTAGCCCAGGGAGCGCTGGAGGAGGGGGCTTCGACGGAGAAGAAATTTAGCAATAACTGGTAATCCCTCGCTCTTTCCTTGTTGAATTGCTTGCAATCTCCGACTCGGTAAAGCTTTCAGAAATCCACATGCCATATTGCCATACTTCATTCCGTCTTTTCCTTTTCCTAGTTAGCTTGGAGCTGGAACTTTGTATATTTGAATAATTTCCGTTATAGTATGATTCATGGTTGCCTTTTTTTTTTTTTTTAAATATTACTTGGCAGAAGCATATTTGAACTAGGCACTGTACCAAACATCAGACGCATCTTAATGCTTCAGGATCAAAGGCAACACTATTCTTTTCCAGCTGATTTATCACACGGAACAAGAGAGTGTTTTCTGGAAACCCATTGCTGTTTATGAATAGTGTTGCTAAATTGACAACGGAACGACTTGTTAAGCTAAATGGTTTGCTTGCAGAACTCACTCGCTCGGGCCATTTCTCAGACTGCTTCAAACTGTTCGGCCAAATTCACTCATCCTACTCCCTAAGACCTGATCAGTACACCCTTTCCACAGCTTTCACTGCCTGTGCTAACAATCGCAATGTGTTTTTTGGTAACCAGCTACATGCATATGCCATTCAAACTGGCCTCAAAGCCTACTCTTTTGTTGCAAATTCTTTACTTTCATTGCATGCAAAGGCTAAAGATCTCAATTCTGTTGTATGGGTATTTGAAGATATTGAATACCCAGATGTATATTCTTGGACGACGTTGCTTGCTGCTTGTACCAGGTTGGGGCACATTGGTTATGCCTTCCAACTCTTTGTTGAAACGCCAAAGAGTAATGTAGCAATTTGGAATGCCATAATTACTGGATGCACAGATAATGGGCATGAAAAGGTTGCTATGTATCTATTCAGAGAGATGCATAGACTGGATGTTAAACCTGACAATTACACGTTGGCCAGCATATTGAGTTTATGCTCTATGAAGACTTTGGATTATGGGCGACATGTTCATTCGGTGGTAATCAAAGCAGGCTATCTAGTAAGGGCTTCTGTGAATAATTCTTTAATAACTATGTATTTTAATGGTGAATGTGTTGCAGATGCTTTTTTGGTATTTGAGGAAGCAGAAGCAACCGTTGTTGATTGTATTACATATAATGCAATGATAGATGGTCTTGTTAGCGTGGAAAGAAATGAAGACGCGTTTTTAATGTTTAAGAAGATGCAAGAGGCTTGTCTCGGTCCAACAGAACTAACTTTTGTGAGTGTCATGAGCTCTTGTTTGTCTTTGAAAACTGGCTGTCAGGTACAAGCCCAGGCTATCAAGATGGGTTACGTTGACTGTATTGCTGTAAATAATGCAACAATGACCATGTATTCCAACCTTGGGGAGTTGCATGAGGTTCAAAATATTTTTGAGAGAATAGAACAAAACGATCTTGTTTCATGGAACATAATGATTTCAGCTTATTGTCAGGAGAATCTTGGGGCATCAGCAATGCTGATCTTCCTGGAAATGAGGAGGCAAGAATTTGAACCAGATGAATTTACCTACGGGAGTCTGCTAGTTGCTTCTGAATCTTCACAAATTGTAGAAATGATTCACTCCTTCTTGTCCAAAAAAGGGCCTATGAAAGTTGAAGTTTCTAATGCTTTAGTTTCTGCATACTGCAGGCATGGAAAGATGAATCAAGCCTTGCAGGTATTCTCTGATATCCCTCGTAAAAATTTGACATCATGGAATAGTCTTCTCTCTGGTTTCTTACTAAATGGATATCCCCTGCAAGGATTAGAGGAATTCTCAGAGTTTCTTCATACGAAGCTCAAACCAAATGTCTTCACCCTCACTATCATTTTGAGCATTTGTTCTAGTATTTCAGCCTTAAGTCTTGGGCAACAGATTCATGGTTACATACTCCGACATGGGTTTTCCTCAGATATTTCTTTGGGTAATGCCTTGATCGCGATGTATGCCAAATCCGGGTCTTTAGACATGTCTATGAGAGTATTCAATGCAATGGTGAAAAGAGATACAATCTCTTGGAATGCTATAATATCAGCTTATGCGCAGCACGGGCAAGGCAAAGAAGCTGTGCGCTGTTTTGAGGCAATGCAAAATTCACCTGAGATCAAACCAGATCAAGCAACCTTCACTGCTGTTCTTTCTGCTTGCAGCCATGCAGGTTTAGTTGATGATGGTACTTATATTTTTTATTCAATGGTGAAAAATTACGAATGCATGCCCAGCGTAGATCATTTTTCTTGCATAGTGGACCTTCTGGGTCGCAGTGGATATCTTGAAGAGGCAGAAAGAGTAATAAATGGAGGGCAATTTGGAGCACATTCTAACATATGCTGGGCTTTGTTTAGTGCTTGTGCAGCTCATGGTAATTTAAGACTTGGAAGGACAATTGCTAAATTTCTGCTGGAAAGAGAGAGAGACAATCCATCAGTGTATGTGCTTTTGTCAAATATATATGCTGCGGCTGGCCACTGGGAAGAAGCAGCTAATCTCAGAGATATGATGAGAATGGATGGGACAACGAAGCAACCTGGCTACAGTTGGATTGGAGTTTAAGATTTTCCTCTCGTTAGTGTTTTGTTTGTAAAGATGATGCAATTAGTGAAGATCCCCTGGACGCTTTGTTTTGTGAAGTCCTAAATAAAAAATAGTGTCTAGCCAGGGGCCTAATGGCACAGGGGCGCCTAGTGTCGGAGACATTCACAATGACAGGACAGCTTCTACAATCAGCCAAACACCCACTTTTTTTTTGAAACCATGGTTTCAGGCAAAACCAAGGTTTTGGCCATGACAACCATGGTTTTGAAATAAGTTACCTGACACTAGTTTCCGAGCAATAAAAAATGTTGTTGGAGTAATAATTACTCCTCAGTAGCTCCCAACGGTAAAAAATTTTTTGGGATTTTATGTTTAAAATTTTTAAGAAATCATAATATTTTTTATTGGCAAAATAAATAATTTTTCTATAAACATATTTAATTATTTTATAAATATATATACACATATTAATTATTAATTATTTATATTATTTATGTCTTATTTATTGTGTTGCCAAAATATATATTATTAACAAATTTATTATTTCAAATTAACATATATTATGAAATATATCTTATATGTAGTTATCATTTAAATTTATGTCTTTTTTAGTAATTTCTATATATAAAAAAGCACTTCTGGCAACAACTATCTAAACACTCTCACTTTATCAGAATCACTTTTTCAGAAAATCTATTCTTTCAAAATCTATTCTTCTTAGAATTTATTCTTTATAAGCTATTCTTCAAACCATAGTTTGGGTTTATCCAAACACCCCTTGGTAGTGGCCAGGTGTTTGGAATTGGCTTCCAATATAGACAAATAGCGGACTTGTTTTTAAATATAAATTGAAAACATAATCCACTATTTATAATTTATCATTGCTTGATTTTATACTTTATAAATTTAAGATATAATTTACAATATAAATTAAGACATAGGGTTAACTGATCGATTATATAATTTACAATTTTATACATTAGTGTTTCGAAAACATTTAAATAAATTGAGTTGAATGATATGGATTCAAGAACATTATTAAATTCAAAAATTAATCTGTAAATATGTAGTAAAACATAAAATTATATTATATTACCTTACTGCATTAAACTTATCATGTAAGTTAATATTATTATATTAGTGTATATCAAAATGAGTTTAATATTATTATTTAAAAAATCAAATGAATAGTAACGTTTATTAATTATTTTTTAAAATATTTGAATAAATGTAGATTTATGTTAATGTTATAATATGATAATATAATATGTATGTTACTATGCTAATATTTAATTAAAGTAGAAAAATAAAATATATTAAAAAATAAAGTGAAATATAACTTTGCCGTGGAAATCACATTTTATTATTTCAATATTTATATAGATTTTTATCAATGCTTTCAAGATTTTGAATTATTATTAACATAATCTTTGCATCTTTTAATCAGTCTAATAATCATAAATTAATTTATGCATTTAGTTTGAGGCATTTATTTATTTCTTAGTTTTATTTAACCATATATTATAAAAGATTCAAAACAAATGTCTACATGTTTAATAAAATAAAAAATATATTTTATAGTATGTGTAAATCTAAACCAATGAACTGCCTTCTTATAAAATGATGTTGGGAGAAGGAATTTGACAAGAGGAAAAAATCATAACAAGAGTTCAAAAGAGAGACTGAAATAAAAATACGGAAAAGGCATACCGAAAATTCTCCAATCGCCTTTTTCTTTTTCTTTTTTTAAAAGTAAGCAATAATGTAAATTATAATGTAAATTAATGTTATTATATTAGCGTATATCAAAACAAAATTTTGGTAAAATGTCTGGAATGCCCTTCAGCCGAAAATTTTCCAATGGCTTTAAACAAAAAAAGGCAAGCAATAAGATCATCAAATCTCTGTTTAATTCTTTGCTTCTTCATTACCCATCGTTAGTATATGTTGCTTAGAAAATCATGATTCTAACAATACGCATTAGTCTTGGTGGAAGGAATTTTTTCTGTTTAAATATAAGATCTAAAATTTGGAGTTGGAATATGTATGAACGTGGAAAACGCTTTTAAGAAAACTGCCTCCAATTGAGCCCAACAATATTCGAATAATTGAATGTAATGTATAAAAATGATCATGATTCCATTATTAAAAAAAGAAAGCTTTTTCATATTTCGTCAAAAATAAAATGTGAAACTTGTACCCAAAAAAATTAAATAAAATATGAAGTATGTAAAGTTGCTGTTTTTTCCCATGTCTTCGCCCGAACAGTCAATTCCCCCGGTATTCTTTCTCAACATTGATTAAATTCTTTTGAAAGGATCTTCCTACCTAAAACAGACCTTCCCCCTTATTTGGATGGAGAGAAAATGAGGGAGAAAAAAAAAACTAGAGAGAAAAATGAGGAGAGAAATAGGTTTTTCTTTGTTTGGATAATGAGAAAAAAGTGAGAGGAAAAAAAAGTAAAAGAAAAAATAGGGTATGGGATTCATATTATTTTCTATTCAACTGTTTTCCCTACATATGGAAAGAAAGTGGTAAGAAAACTCACATTTCTAGTGTATCCTTCCTCATATTAGGTGAATAAATGCATATTTTGACTTTAATGCAATATTTTTAAATTTTATTTACAGCTACTTTATAGTTTAGCAAAATTATCTCACTGCAACCAAATTCCAAATTCTAAAGGGGTGTTTGGATAAAACCAAATCATGGTTTGGAAAATAGCTTCTCGAAAATAAATTCTAAGGAGAATAAATTTTGTGAAGAATAGATTTTGTGAAAAAGTGATTATGAGAAGTGAGAGTGTTTGGATAGTTGTTATCAGAAGCACTTTTTATATATACAAATTACTAAAAAAGACATAAGTTAATATGATAATTACATAAAACATAGATTTTATGATATATTTTAATTTAAAGGAATAAAATTGTTAATAATATATTTTTTACCAACATAATTAATAATACATAAGACAATATAATTAATAAATAATTAATATGTGTATATATATTTATAAGATATAAGATTAATATGTTTATAAAAAATTAATTGAGGGATGTTAAAGTCATATTATTGTTGAGATCTACTCTGACAGGCACAATCATACTCTCTAATTTGAGCCAGAAGCAGAATTGATTTACTTCTCCTGAAACCATGGTTTTGAATTCCAAAACCATGGTTTTGGCCCAAACCATGGTTTCAGATTATGGCATCAAAATTAATGCTGTTTGGGTGACATTCCACCCAAACCATAGTTTTGCATCTTAAACCATGGTTTTGAGAGTCACCCAAACAGGCTCTAAATCAATATATAAACCCTATTTTTTCACATTCAATGTAATACTCGAAATTCGTACTAACTATACACACAGTACACATATATTTCTCCATCTCTTTCAATTTTTGTAATAAATTTTTATTATTTAATAATAATTTTAAATAATATATATTTTATTTATTTTCCTTTATTATATTTAATTTAAAAAATTATCTTATTTCTATTAAAAATAACATTTTTACTAAACTATTTGATTTTTAAATATAACAATATGATAAGTCATTTATATATTGTCTCTTTTTTCTCTCTCTATTTTCTCCCCCTCATCAAAACAAGATGTATAATAATATTTTCTCTTCAGTTTTCTTTTCTCTCCGTTTCTCTCCTCTCATTTTCTTTCCTTTCAACTTTTCTTCTCATCCAATCAAAGCATTAGTTTGTCCATCTTATAAACAAACTCCTCAATGGCCGAAACTAGATTAATACAATAGACCTCAAGCATTGCGCCTAAAATAGATTTTTGAGGATAAATAAGTGAAGGTGTATACTTTGACTTTAATATACAAAATATTTGCTATGAGTTTGAAAATTTATAAAAGGAAAAATTAATCTTTGATCATTGTATTTTTTTACTTAATTGTAATTCAATCGTTATTCAGTGTTGACTTAGTTGTAACTTAACCCTTAAATTTTGACTCTATAATTTACTTCCTATACTTTTAACCATTTAAAAGTTTAATCTCTATATTTTAAAATAAATAAATATTTAATGGAACTTAGAAACTAAAGTTTTAAATGGTTAAAATTATAGGGACCGAATTGTATCGAGTCAAAATTTAAAAACCAAATTACAACCGAGTTAAAGTTCAAAAATTGAGTTATAACTGAATCAAAAAATTATAAGAACCAAAAGATAAATTTCCCTATTCATAAATTTTCTTATATTAGGCTTGTTGTTTGTTTAAATTTCACCAAATAGAGTTTCTTTATTGGTATCATACTTTCTTATCCATCAGTATGTGTATTATGCAGATGGCTTTGGACTTACAACTAGAGTGGTTTCATACCCTATTCAACAATTCAAAGTATTGTGTTTGTATCAAACTTTTGTAGATAATTTTGCATCAAACAGTTTAATACATCAACATGTTTGTATTTAATTCATATTTATATTTTTCTTGGCAAATTAAAAATTAACGTTCACAATTGAATTCTAAATATTTGCAGACAAAGTTAAAAATTTGAGAATTTAAGATTCATGAATGTGTATTGGGTTACTTACAAGGGAATTTAATATAATACTAATCCTTAATATAAGATTTAGTAACTAGATTTTATATTAACAATCGATGGTATACCAAAGAAATCATATCTATTACTACCTCTCGTTCTTAATATAAAAGCTAGTTTAACATTCAATTTGGTCATAAATATAAAAATCTTAATTTACTTTATCTGTTATATATATATATATATTCATTTTTTCCAAAATAGTCCTTGTAGTAGTTACATATGTCAAATGTTCTATTAAATGGTAGGTCTAGCTTATACATATGATTAGCAACGGTATTCTAGGAAGGATAACATCTAATTATTACAAATAAGTAACTTAACAAACTTTTTTAATCTACTTAAATTAGTCAATTAACTCTTATATTAAGAACTGGACCGGGAGGTAGTATAAATTTCCCCAAGATGTATAATATGTGATTAAGATAGAATTTCAAGAGCAAAAATAATATGCAGTAAAATTCAAAATTTACTGCTCAATGCTAACAATCTGTGAGAACATGTAAAAGATGTTCTACATGCTGCTTACTGTAAATACATGCTAAGTTCATCATATTTTTGTACAATTTTTATAAATAAAGAAATTAAATAATTTAAAAGGGGAAAAAAAAACTGTGGTTCAATCAAACAATTGGTATATCTATGGGAAAGAAACTACTTCAAAGCTCAGACATTTCAAAAAACCTCCCTGCTTCCTTTTCTTCTCTGCTTGAGGGTTTCCATTCCACTCAGCCTATTTCTCAGTCCTGAAAGAAAATGCATGTTAGGGGAAAAACAAAGGTACATGTTTCTTAGAATAAATCTCACAAAAAATTCTTTAAATGTTTGCTATCAATTTTTATCTAAACATTTTGTATAAATCAGCATACGATTAATTCATAAAACAAAATTCCAGCCACTTGTCACACCTTAACGGAAAAATCTTATAGCAAACAGTTAAGAATTCCATGTGTAAGTATTGCCCCACTTTTGAATGGAGTGAGAGTACTGTTGTGTGTGTGAAAGAGGGAACAGAGAGATGAGATAACCCCTTGATATAAAAGGAAAAGTCACCTACAATTTTAATCCCATTATATAAGCCAATAGAAGTACGGGCCCGGTAGCAATTCAGCTTTAGAGAATCAACAAGCACAATGAACTAGATATCTTAGCAAACTGAGGCTCAAAGAATGGAACTCATCCTCCGGGGGCACAAGGATTAGCATTTTTAGGCCAACATGAGTTTGTCCCCTGTTTATTAAGAAAAGTTCATAACTATGAGTGTACACAACTAATCAATTTTGAGTTCTCATACAAGAATTCACAGAACACTGCGCTATGTTCTCGACTATCTTTTAGAAATTAACAAGGGTTCAATGATGATAGCCAGGTAGTTATACAATAAAAGATAATATCTAGAACCCATTTTAATGAATCAGAAGCAATACACTGAAATGTAATATGCTTTGTAGGCATTAGGTTTGCAAACAAATAAGATTCTTATTTGTGCCCTGCATCCAGACACATATTTTTGTATAATAAGAAATAGAAACCAATCCAGATCAATCTTACAATAATGAATGACTTTTGGTGGGATGCGTTTCCTGCGTAATCCAACAAAAATTTATTTTATAAAAATTAGATCAATGAACCTGTTGGTGTTGTGTTGGATTTTATGCTTTTTTGCCTCTTTGTTTCTTTTTCTCCCCTTCCATATTTTTTCTTATCATTTAAGATAGTTTCAACTTCACTTGCATTGCAAGGGGGGTTTGTTCGAGTTAAGTTAAAAGTTCTAGTCATAAAGATCACATTCAAGAATTTTACATGAATCTAAATATTGTTGAACTCCACCATCAGTATATCAAAAAAATTAACTTTTCAAAGATAAAGAAACTGTTAACTAGAAATTACATCTTTCTTGTTCTACAATTGTTATAAAATTTGGTACATATTTACTAATACTACAGCAGTTTAGATCAATAGACACAGCTTCTTAAAATTGAATTTTGACAAGTGCAAATATGCAATTCTCATATAGATGTCATTCTTTACAGGAAGATTAAGGGAAAAGGTTCTAAATATCACATTCTAAATATCACATTTTAAAGAACAGCTGGAGCAAGGAATTGAGCTCAGGAAGTGGCATAGATGATGGTTTGGGGAACATTACGTGACTTTTGGGTACCTTTTGGTTGTCAAGTGATTTTTGAAGATTTCCTATTCAAATTATACGTTATGTTCATTATGATTATTCAAGAACCATGATTCCTATTATTGTTAGGGTTGGAATTACTTGGGCATTAGTCTTTGTTCTATGAATAATCTCTATCACAAGATAAGCTATTATCAGATTTTGGGAAAAATTAGAATATAATGTCAAAAAGATCTTCAAAGGTGTACTTTCTTTGGGTTCCACATCAGAGGGTACACGGAAGGATGCACCGGGGCCACCGTATCAGAGTCAGTTTTTCATTTTACAAATTCATGCATTGCGTTTCTTGATTTAATGAGTGGCAATGGCAACTTACATTAAATTTACCCTCCTTTAAGCTTTCCAAACACTCAGCAAGCTCAACTTGTTTCGAAGCAGTTGCAACAAGTGCCTACAAGAGCAGTAGCAATCAATATCAACACAACAGTGCTAAACAATATCCTTCAGATGATCTATCATATGATGGGAGACTGGTTCTACCTTCTTTGTCTTTTGCAAATCATGTTCTATACATTTTATACGATTCAATGACTCATGAAGGATATCCTCTTTCTCAGGAGGAATTGTTGTTGGCTTGTTGATCATCTCAGTTACTGCCTCTTCTAAATTCTGCAACCTTTGCCAAAGGGGATCTCTTGTTTCCTGAGATATCAAGAGCTCCTCGGACTTTGATTCAGTTTTCTGTGTTTTGTTAAGGCTTCTTGATTGGCCGTCTGTGAACTGAACGACCAAAAATTTTCCAAGGCCTACAAGAACTACATATATACAAGCTAAAACTCTGAGTATGACTTGAATTACTATACTTGTAACATAAGGAATCAGCTCCTTTGGTGATCTTCTGGAATTAATGTTGTTTGAATCACCTGTCAGAAGTAATTTGTCAGGAACAGATAAAATCACAATCATAGAACTAATACATTCTAATTATGTTATGTTTTGAATGGAAAAACCTCTGAGAATCAAAATCAATAAATATCCCTCCTGCTTAAAAATTACAGATGGCCTTATATTGTTTCACTCATTCGGGACAAGTATGAGTGGTAAGAAGAGATTGAGTCTAGACCAAGTGACAATTCGCCAAGCACATTTTAATTATATCTGTTGTTGTTATTTCTTCTCCTTGCTTTTTTTCTTTTTTTTTAAATATTGTTCCCCCTTGTATACTTTCTCCTGGATTAGTTCATGCCTGCGCACCAAGATTGATCACATTTTATGCTGAAAATTCATATCATCATTCCACATGCCACATCATGATCATGCCACTTGAAGTATCTCATATAGCAACTGAACTGAACACCCTAATCTGAAAAAGCGGAGCCGAAAAATGGCTTACTAGTTGAATCAGCAGTTTCAATTTCCCTGGCAGTACTGGCTGGCTCAACCTGTTCGTACATAGGTGTATGGTCTCCCATCCTTTTCTGAAATATAGTTCAAATTTTATACGATTAGATAATCAGTGGATTTTAAGATTAAGTTAACTGTACAACTCACAAAAAGATGAACACATTCTCCTTGAATATATGTTATTAAGTATAAAGATATACTCAACACAGTGGGCTTCCACTTATCACTGCCCATATACTGACCATTAACTCACTTGACCACCTTTGCTGATGCAGAGTGTAAGAGGGTATTTTGTTAAACAAGAGGTTGATTCAAAGAATTTAAGATATATAGAAGTGGAACAACTGAAAAAAGTTCATGCTAGCTGATCTAATTTGACATTCAAAGGGTAATTTATGAGAACAAACAAAATAAATCTGACTTGAATCTACTAAACTACTTCACCTTCGGAAGTAACCCAACTGTACCAGTTTGCTTCATCCTTCGAAACCAGAACAGCCCAATAATTTGACGTAATAAAAGACTTTAGTTAAGCATTTTTTAAGCATGGTCCACAACCCTTCCACCCCTAAGTCCCAACTCCTTCAAACTAAAGTTTCAACATCTACAAGCATAATTTTGGTGTGCAACATGAAGTAATTATAGCCGCAATGAAACTATTTGTGTAAATTTGAGCAGAGATAGAGTATTAAACAGGTTGATACATGCATGAATACAGTTTATTAGTACTCCTAATGTTTAATAAGTTCAATCTTCACAGTTTAGCTGTAATACGATAAGCGTTACCACTACCTTCTTAGTTCTTGTTTCTCATAATGAGATGAGATAACTAGTGGCAGGATAAAAGGTATTTCCTTTTAGCCTACATATAAAAGAACAATATGCGGTATTTTTGTAACTGTTAATGCAGATTTCAAGTTATCCACTATGATACTGTTTCTCTGTAAGTGCAGGATCTGAAAGTATTAGATCAATGAAATCTCCTCATTTGGGAGATGACCTGTAAATGAATAGAATGGGATACTCTAAAATCTAAAAAGATATATCACCAGCTAAATAAAAGAATCAGTAGAGCTCACATCTTCAAGAGGAGGAATTGACTGCATGAAGACTGAGGGACTTGACCTTGCATCTGATGCAGATCCAGTTTGCAACATTTTAGTGCTTTTAACCTGTGACAAAAACAGGTTAATTAATTCATAAACATGTGTAAAATCCTTTTGTTCTAAGTGAAAGAGTGGACAATGAGACTGGAGGACTATATACAGTAAAAGAAAGCACTGACACTTACTAATTTTTGAGTGACCTTGTTGGCATTTGATTTGATACCTAGCTCTCGGTCACTTGAAGAACTTCTGATTCTTGTCAGCTTTAATGCTTCTCCACCATGTACCAGCTGTAAATAGCACATGAAAGCAAGGTTGAAGGATAAGAAATAAAAGCTCCAACATGAGTGTAAGCAAATGCAGGTCCCATTATTATAATAATGTCATACTTTCATAATTTCAGGATCATTCCAAGGTCCCTTGCCAGATCTCATACACCCTCCTTCATTTGGGCATGAACAACTTCCACCAAGGAAATCTGGTAACTGGCTGTTAGAAATAAAAGATCCTCATTATTTGTGTTATTACAGAAATAGAAGCACTTAATCAGCTGAGATTGTAAAAACACAATGCAAACCTTGAGTCTATAACCTCTAGCAATTTGCTCTGGAATTTAGTTCCTAAGACCTGTAAAATCGGCATGTAACATTTCCATCATGGTAAATCCTTTCAAGATTCAAAGAAGGTGAACAAAAGTATACTTATGTACATGAATTTTTGCTGTGGTCCTTGGATCAAGAAAGCTTTTTGCTGTATTCCATAGTAGCTTGAACCCACTACCAGCATTAACAATGTACATCTGGTGTAATGTCTGAAAACAACAACCACATTTAGAATGAAGACTACATGCCCAAGTGATCAAGATCATGGCAACTATTGGTTCAAGGCTAGGGCACAATGATAGTAAACTACTGTAAATAAAAGACAGTGTGCTTGGGATGAGTAAAGTGGATTCAATGACCAAAATTTCAATGTGTATCACCCGCTTAGATTCCTTCCCTCTTCCCTACACGTATTTTTGACAACAATACGCATGCGATCAATTATGGTGAAGTGAGCTTTATCACAAAATGCATCCAGACAACTGGAATGTCTTTCCCTTTCATTAACAATTAAGAATTCTCTTTAAAAGATCTCAATATAAAATTCTTCAGTTGAAACTCATAACTTAAAATTCAGAGAAATGAACACATTTCAAATAAGCCCATATAATTAATCCCAAAGAAGCAATACTGATATAATAGTGTTATACTAAGCGTTACCTTTACCTCACTTTCAAAAAACCAGACTGTTTAATTTTATGCAGGTCATAGAAAAAAATAAGTAATTATCTATGACATCTACCCATCCCAAAAAACAATGCCAAACCAACAAATAATTATATATGACACACAAGCGTCAATACGTTTATGATTCAAACCCAATCAGAAAAAAATCATTTTTATTAAATTATTAACAAAATATTAATAGTTATGTACTAGTTCATCATATTCTAATTCCTATAGTACTTAATACCTCAGGGTAGTTATCACCGTCGATTTTTTGCATGCGCATAACAAGATCATGAGCAACTTTGCCGAAGGTCACCCAGTTCTGTAATATGAAAAAGAAATAATGTTTAACTAAAGTGCTTTACAACATATCTTGACATGAATACCACCTAAGCTCAAAAAGTTACCACGCCATGCACATCCAGTATCGTTGTTGTTGTGACTATGTGCTTTTTAGCTGCAATAGAACATGCTGGAAATTTTTCTTTGAACATTCTCTCAAAACCCTGAACATGATATTTTAAAAATCGATCTATTGTAGTGACATTCAGCAACTTGCTAGGCTCAACTTTGCCAATTCTTTCAATATAAACTGGTCGGCCCCCTTTATCTACACCATGATAACCATGAGGATAATATCGCTGAACCTCTTCATATTCATCATATATGAAATCCTATAAATCATAAAGTGCAACATTGTCCTGTTAGAGATAGAAGGATTTAACATTTTCCTAAACCATAGCAGAATATTGGGAAACATTCCAATTTCCAAATGAAGTGCTAGAGGATTTCTCCTCCCTCGAACTCCATGCTTTGGATAGCAGGTTGAGTCCTGAAATATGCTAAAAGCCTAAAACCTTTCAGATCATGCGCATCATGTTTTCATCGTAGCTTTCCTAGAAAGTGAGAATAAAAGCTTCCTGCTATACAATTTACCTGAAGAATATAATCTACTCCATACTCCTTCCTCCAATTGAGCATATCTCTCCACATATGGACTGTTTTATCTATGTCAAATTTTCTGGCCTTCAGAAATCTGCAAGAAAAATAAGCAGTATATAATATATTTTGCCTAAAGAAATTAGTAAATACAAAAGGATTTCTTTTTATTACCATCAGAAATGCTTGGAGAAATTGTTACTTCAAAGGTTAAGAATGGCAATCCAGATGAAGCATTCATCTGATTAAATCAACAGAATTGCATGACTCAATTACCACAAAGAAACAGCATAAAAAAAATCCCACCGTGTCAGTAAGAACTCTTCAATTGATAAAACTGAACCAAATGTACGCTGAAACATAGTCACAGAATCCCTTCTGAGATGAAGGACCTCAGGATTACTCGGGGCAGAATATTTACGATATATAATTTAGTTACAGAAACCAAACATTGTACCGATGGTAAGCAAATCGACCACAAATAAAGAATATGAATAACAATTCCGCCTCTATCCATTTCAAATTTGTCATGGGCTAGTAAAGTAATAAAATTGAGCCATCAGGAGAAATGCATACTCAATTGAGAAGTACCGACTGTGGCACAGTCATTCATTTACCTCAGCATTGTATGATAATCGTCGTGGGAAGCTGGAAGCAGATCTTTTTCAAGTAGTACCTGACGAAACGAATTTACTGCTTTTTCCTCCTCGGCATCACGAACATCCTCTATCAAAATTGATGGGTATCGACAATCAGCTACACGGTTATTACGCTTCCGGAGACTATGAGTGAGTCTCGTCGAGGCAGTCATTCTTCTCCGAAGAGATCTGGACCGAGACTTTCGCCACTCATCCTCAGAGGTCTCAGGTTCCAAGCTCCCACCCATCTCATCGTCTTGAATTAATACCTCCTCCCCTGAACCCAATATTAGTTATCAAATCAAATTTACAATCCCAACATATAAATTGAATCAATAATACACGTAGAATAATATCAAGATCTCAGTGCCGGACAGGACTTAGAACTTGTACCTGACATTCTATTCGAGACGCAGACGATTCCCGTTTAGAAGATCTCTGCACAATGAAAAAAACGAGAACTAGACTGAAGAACATGAAATGCAAACCCCCGGTGATCTAGAATATACCAGTTGAGCCTTGTACTTTAAGAAAAATACAAAATCCACCAAAAATTAATTTAAAAACAAAAACAGATGCCACAGCTCAGCTGCATTAAACTTGTATACTAATATAACCCTGGGGGAAAAATTCCCAACCCAAAACCTTAGATCACTCAACATGCTCATCGATCAACACCACAAGACCAACATTGCATATCCACAACCCATCCGAACCAAAAAAATCAATCACACTCAGCGTTCAACGTAGTACCTGAAGACGATGGCCTAGAAACCAAATAGGCTTGGCCTTCTGATTTCAAAGCCGCTCTTTCTTGCTCTTAATCTGCGGCGTAACAGAAACTGTACGGAGACGGAGACAGAGACAGGGAGGGAGAGAGAAGGAGAGCTGAGAACGTAGCAAACAGGAAGAGAGAGAGGGAGAAAGAGAGAAAGGCACGTCACTGTCAAAAGCGTTACTAGGAGAAGACGTAGCGTGCAACGGCCGCTTCGGCTTAACGTTAGCGCCGGCTGTTTGGAAGCTTGCAAGTGCGACCAGCGCCGTTTGTCGCCGTCGGCGCTGTTTGTTAACGGAAGAGGGCGGTGGGGGCGGGAATCAGGTGCGTTGCCGTTATGTTTTACGGCGCCCGAGGGTGGGAACAATTAAAGGAATAGGCGAATAGCTTCGTTCATATTTGGAAATAAACCACCGACCAGTCAAAATGGGCCACGTGGAATGCATGACTGTGATCATTGCAAGAAAAGGAAGGTGGTGTTTTCCTTTGGGAAAGGGTTGCAAAAGGAGGCTCCGTCCACGTGGACATCACCGTACACCGGCACCTGCCGTGGGCCCCAACGGTGCCTAATTACGTCACCATCCCCCTGTAATTTTTCCGGATAATAGCACAAAAGAATATTTTAATAACTTTCAAGAAATTTTAATTATGCTAAATAAGATTTATTTTCTTCAAGAATTAAATAACATTAGGGTTACCAAAGAAGCCAAGTCTAGTTTAGTGGCACCAAGCCACCAGTCCTAATTTTTAGAGGGAAGTTACATATTTATGTAAAAATATTTTTTTTACTTAATTGTAAAGATTGTCCAAACTTTCCCTTAAACATGCTTGCGTATTGAAATACTATCTCAAAATCTTAATATTAAAATTGGTTTGATTTTCATTTTAATTCAAAATATAAGACGTTTAGTTAATACACTTTGATTAGCAAAAACGTTTTAGAAAAAATAACACATAATACTATAAAAAAAGATTTTATATCTAGGATCGGAAGAGTATTTATTATAAATAACTAACTTAACTAATTTTTTTAACATATTTAAATTAATCAAATGTTCCTTTCTTAAAAGACGGAAAATAGTACTCGGAATGATGCCACGGCTTTAAAAGTCCATTCCGGGCGAAAAATTAAAGAGGACAGATCAGAAAATTAAATTGACTTTTTTCTTGTTATTGACTTTCAACTTGGGAATTTACGCCACATAACAACCGATGAACTATGGAATCCTATTTTATTTTTTTTATTATTAGTTTTAATTGTGACATTAATAGATGTTCAAGATTCAAACATTTTTTATGTAAAAAAAAAAAAAAACACCCCCACACGCAGAGGAATAAGCTATTATCCTACAATAATAAATTCGTTCTTTGTTACATTAATATTTATTTGCAAAAAAAAAATTTGGGAGTTGCTTTTACTCTACGGTGGAATATACTCTTTGTATCTAAAAAAAAAAAAGTAATCCCGTTATTTTTCATAGGAAATAAACTTTACAATCACAATTTTGTTGTGATTATAAACTAATGTTTTTGTTCATTTAATTTAGAATAATATGATCTTTTAGGATAATATATTATAGTTAATAAAGAACCTAAAATTACAATATTATTACCTATAAGATTTGAATTATCAATATATATTGTGTTTACTTTACAATAGTTAAGAATTAAAGTTCATTTTAATGTCTATTATAATAATAATAAAAAAGGTCCATGTTTAATGTGCACTCAATTCTTGAAATGACACTCTGTATTTATCTTAGAATTTAATTTGTTTCAATAATTCAAAGGGGTAAAATTTTTTTGGAAGGTTTTTATTGAAAAAATATTTAGTAATTAATGACTAAATTGATAGGCAAGTAATCTTTTCAATATTAAATTAAGAGATTTCATTTTATAGACTAATATAAGAAAAAAAAAATTTCAAAGACGAAGTTATTGACATACTTTATAAAAAAATTGACAATTTGGCAGGAAAAGATTTTCGACAAAAAAAAATTGTAATTTCTAACCAGGTTAATTATATAGATTTTTTTTTTCTGTTGCGATATGGATGTATAGATTAATAGCTTTACCTAAAATATATTAATATGAATTTTTTTGGGGCCAAAATTGAATTTTTTTAATAATATTAATATGGATTTTTTATTGTCAAAATTGACTTTTTTTTAATGATATTACGTGATCGAATTAAGATACACTTGGTTGTTTCTGGTTGTTTGTATCCAAAGAAAATCATGCTCGATTTATGTTACCTAAAAACTATAGGATAAGAGAGTAATTCATTATCTTGGGATTCGTTTGATATAAGAAAAATGGAGAGAATGAAAAGGGAAGGGGATAAAATTTTAACGAGCTCCTTTCGAAAAATTGAAGAAGTGGAATGAAATTTTTTTAATTAATTTTAATTACTCTTTTATCTTAACTGTTCTCTTTATCAAAATTTTATAAACTCATTTTTTTTATTTTTTAAAATAAGCTCATTAAATTTTTTTTCCTCCTTTTTCGTTCTCTCTATTTTCCTCCTACCAAGCAGACTTTCAGGTTATCAATTTTTTACCTAAATCTCAGGTTGTCAATTTGAACATTTGGGGAAAAAAATAATTTTCATTTATGGTATTACTATTTCATCTCTAGCCAAATCTTTTATCTATTTAATTTTTTAAAAATTAAAATCACACATAAACATAATTGACAAATCGGTGTTAATGTGTTTTAATATCAATTATTACTATTTATTAATTATTATATATGAGAGAGAGAATCTCAAAAAAATGATATTGACAAGACCAAAATATGGACCTTCTTTCCATGTGTATCGATCTTTAATACAAAAACTAATTAATTAATTTAAATAAATTAAAAAAATTAGTCAAGTTAATAAATAAGTATTATTTTTCCTAAAACACTATTGCTAATTATGTGTGTTGGTTAGAACTATCATTTGATGAAAATATATAACTATTACGATGACTACCTTGATAAAAATATCAATATAAAAAACAAAGTATGTTAAAGTTTAATATTAAGGACCAAATTGAATATCAAATTAGTTTTTATATTAAAAATAAGAGAGATAGTATTTGGGAAAGGCCGGGATCCTGTCAAGTGTCAACCAGTTTAACTTTTTTTAAAACAAAACTTAATAAAAAAATAATTAATTTGAAAAATCCTACATTTGTTTTCCCAAATCCACTTGTTGACAAGTATTACTTGAAGTAATTCATTACATGATAATTATGTTTTGATTATGATTATTGAAATTACTGAATAACAAGCTACACAAAGTAAGACATATTATTGAGAACATGAATATGAAAGATAAAAATACAAATCATTTATGATTTAAACAATTAATTTTGTAAGAATAATAATATTTTGCATAAGTTATTTTGATATCACCTTTAGGTTTAGCATTCGAGAAATTAAGATGATCTCCATTCCTTTTCTTTTTTTTTCAGGCAATATCTATATTCCAAAATTCAGCAATGGACCAATTAAATGATTTAATATATTCTTTTCACATAATTAATTATTTAATCATTAATAAATATTGGCGACATTTTGATTTTCATTTTTTTTTAAGAAGGAATATAAAAATTAATTTTTTATGCTAGTAAATTTGAAAGCAACTAGTGAATATTCTTTCTGGTTATGCCATATTTTTTTTTTTTATTTCACAGATAAAATTTATGTTATGGTTTCTTTTTTTGAACGTTTGAATTGGTATTGAAACATGAAAGCTACTGAATTTATGGCATTTATTTGTTTTTTAACATCCAATATTCAATACCATTTGACTACTTGTTAAAACGAAAAAAAGGTATATATCATTCATATAATTTTTGAAATAGATAGATTATATTTTTTTTTTTGATAATTCAGATTTAAATATTTTTAGAGACTGAAAAGTCTGAGTTGTCGGAATCATTTCATTTGCATAGATCCATTTTTAAAATAATTTCCTCAAGGACCTAATTTATTTACATTTCATTCTATCAATCCTTTTCGGACAACTAAAGACATTAAGATATTGGAAAGTAAAAAGATCAATTTATTTATTTATCAAAATTTCAAATAAACAAATTTTTAAAATGAAACTACATGGCCAAGGAAAAAAAAATATTGGAAAGGAAAAAGCTCAAAAAAGTGATAATTATAACTGACTAATTAAAAAGACTTTACTACAAAAGTAAGGCAATCCACGTGAGAATCCAATGTGAGAAGGAGAAAAGGGACTCTTCTAGAAAGGCAAACGGGTCCACTATGAACAAAACTTCTGGCCCACCTAAATACTTCCCCGAATAAAAATAATTGTTTTGAAAGTGATTGTTTTAATTTTTTGCCAATTTTTTTATTCTTTGAATGATTATGAAGTCCCCCGTCACAAAAATTTACAATTTTACAATCTTGACTTGAATGAAAATGTCAGGGAATTTTCCAAATGCTACTGTTAATATAACCAAAATATATATATTTAGAACCAAATTCAATTTAAAAAAAAGTAATATGCATTTTTTATTAAAGCCATTGAAAATGTGTTCCATTGAAATAGAATTTTGGGATGTCCAATAATGGTTCCAACAAAATGAAGAATTGTCTGCTCCCTCATTAGAAGAGGTATTTACATTTAGGACATGAAAGTACTTTAAATAAAATTGTCTCTAATAAAAAAATGTACTCTTTCAGTCCTTAATATAAGACCTGATTATTGAGTTGATTTTGATGCTAAATATAAGACTCATTTCTCATATTTATCAATTTTCTCTGAATTATCCCGATAGATACTCCATCAACCGTGATCAAATAGAAGAGAAAGATGGAGTATTAAGAAAAATGATAATGGTATTTTAGGAAAAACGTTTCACATTTCTTATAATTAACTAACTTACCTAACTTTCTTAATCTAATCAAATTAGTTAAATGGGTCTTATATTAAATATTGGAAAAGTATATACTTAGAAAACTTCTATTGGTCACAGGTCACGCCCGCAAATTGGATTTGGAGACCTCATACGCGGTTCCAGTTTCTTATTGATGAGGACATGTTTGTAGGGGGGTAATGGTTGAACTGATTACGGTTTTGGAACCTGGTTATTATGTTCTGTAGACTTACTTCGATGGAATGCAATTATGAAAGTTTGTTTTCTATGGCCAAAAAATTGAAAGTCATGCTGACTATATACTTATTCTCTGAGCTTTTTTGTAAGGTACTTCCAGCATATTTCATACAGATAAAAAAAAAATTTAAATGTATTAACTTTTCATTAAAATATAATGATTTTTTAACTTTATCTATATTTAATATATACACATTTTAAAGACGATAACTACTTACACCATAATAAATGGAGGATAAAATAATACATTCATACTAAAAATTTAATAACCTGACCTATAAATGGGACAAAAAAAACATTCTATCTCTGTACTATAAATAAAACCAGAGGAGTACGTGTGTATATTAGTATAAAAGCATGAGACTTGGTCGAGTTTGGTAAATATATCATTTAATTTTATTTGTTAGGATTTTTTTAAAAAAAATTGATTCTAGAAGGCTAATCCATTTTGACATCACGACTAGAGGTAGAAACAGGCCAGGCGGCCTGTCAGGGGCCTACGGCCTGGCCTGTATTTGGCCTGGTCTGGCCTGGCCTGTTTTCCAAAAGAGACAGGCTCAGACCTGTTTGAAGGCCTGTTTAAGTTAATAGGTCAGGCTTAGGCTCTCTAAAAGGCCTGTTAAGCCTATTAGGCCGGCCTGAGCCTGTTAGAAATTTATAATTATAATATATAAAAAAATTAGTTAATGGTATTGTTAATGTGAACTTTTAATTTATTTTTTAATTTTAATATATAGTTAATAGCTTAGTTCTTCCTTAGATTTGAAGTTTAGTTGACAAGTAAAGATAAAAATATAATTTAAAATAAAAATATCAATAAATAATATGATCTTTAAATCTTAAAAATATAAATAAAATAGGAAAGAAAATTTTTGTTCCAAGAATGATAGATTAATTAACTTATGTATTATATTAATTAAATTATGATACTCTCTTTATTCATTGTAAAATTAATAGTTTTTTTCTTAATTTTTTTGTACTTAAACAAAGTTTTGTCCCAAATTTTAACGTATAATTAGAATTAGTTTTCAATAATATCCTTATAAATTGTAATTAAGATTTAAAACATTACCTATGATACTAAAATTTAAATAAAAGACAAAACTAAAAAAATTAATTATTATGTATACTTTTTTTTATTTTAGCTTTTTTCTTAAAAAAATTATTGTAATTTGAATTTTAAAAAAAAAAACAGGCTTTTTAACAGGCTTCAGGCCAGACCAGGCCTTTATACAGGCCAGGCTCAGGCTGAAAGATAAGCCTGTAACAGGCCACAGGCCAGGCTCAGGCCTATAGGCTACAAAACAGGCCTGGCCTGTTAAGAGTAAAGCCTGATCTGGTCTAGCCTGTTTCCACCCTTAATCACGACGTGCCACGCTTTCCTCCCCTAAGCTGGACTTGCGCATATAAAGAGAATTAATATTCGTGCGTTGCTTTTACGGTGGAAGTTTTTTTTTTGGGAAAAATTACTCTTTTGATTTTTTTAAATTTTAATTTAGTTATAACTCAATCTTTTAATTGCAATTTACAACCCAATCACTCAAATTTTAAACAAGTCGAGAATTGAGGGACTAATTGTACTAAATTATAGTTGAAGAATTAAGTCATAACTAAATTCAACCTTGCAGGCCTAACTGATTAATTTTTCCTAATTTATTTTGCCAGATATGTTGGACTATTAATAAGTCATATAAGATTTGTCCGTGTCTTTAAAATTTAGGATCAACTTAAAAAAAGTTGGATTTTTTTTTTTTTGAAAAAGTTAACTTTAGCGAGTGCGACTGTAGGAAGTTGGAACAAAATTTAAAGCTCAAGAGATCATACCAACGTATTGGAAATAAACTTTATTTTAGGATTTTTAATACTATCTCCTATCCTTAATATAAGACCTTATTTGATTTTTATTTTGATAAAAAATATAAGACCCCAATCTATTTTGTCTCTCATATTTATGCATTTTTTTCAAAATAGTTTTCTTAATAATGGTAGTTATAGCCAATACACTTAATTGGTAAGGATATTTTAGGAAAGACAATATATATTTATTACAAATAACTAACTTAACTTTTTTCCTTAATCTCCTCAAATTAGTCAACTATCTCTTATAATTAGAAGCGGAGGTGGTATTAGTTGCAACAAAAATTAATATATTTTCCTTTATAACGTTGAGAGCTCAAATTTTATGAATTAAAAATTCATGTTGTAATCGTTACTTCTAGTAATAATCCATTTGTTTGATCTTTTTTACTGAAAAAAAATCACCTTTTATTTTTTAAAAAATTACAATGGTTATTTAACTTCGAACAATAATCAGAATATTAAAAAAAAAAAAACAGCCGCATAAAAGTATCATAAAATTTAAAAAATTATAAAAAATAATTAGATCTAAATATGCAATAGCCGATAGAGAATATATTTATAAAACTAGGGGCACAGATAAAGATATAACTAAATTTTAAATTTTCTAAATAATAAATTTTTTTCCATTAGAAATACACAAGGATATTATACAATCTTAAAGCATTTAAATAACAAAAATTAAAGGTGATAAAGTTGTGGGGAAAGCCTGTGAAGTAAAACACACATAAAGGAGAGACTTTTAAACTCTAGGAATTTTATTGGTGGGAAGAAAAAGAAGTCACGGCGCAGACAATGGGAAAAGTCAAGATGTGATTCCATAATTTGTTTTAATAAATAAATAACTCATAATTACTTGCATCCTTCATCATTGCTTATGCACGTTTGGTGGAGGAACACTGTTAAGAAATGGGACGCTGCCAACGCAATTTATTTCGGCTGCTACAATTGGAAAGTCGACGTATTAGGATCCCAAGGATTTGCAACCTTATGACTGCGAGGGTTTTTTTAATGACCTCATCCAGTATCCTAAACAGATTATCTTTCAGCTATATTAACAATTCAGATTAATTTGGATTTTCTAATTGTAGGCGGTGAGATAACTGGTCAAAGGATTTAACACTTTTCATGTCTAACCGGAATCAAACCCGACCTTAGTTAAGGAAAGATGAGTCCCTACCGCTCAACCACACATCCCTAGTTTATGACGGTGAGACTTTGAACGAAGGCCAAAATTACAACAGTGTTGAGATATGATTTACAAAGGAGTTAATAACTTTTTTTAAAAAAATAGTTTTCACATGAATTGAAATAAAATTTATCTCATATATTTATTTTATATATGGCAAAATTATTTCAAGAAACTAATCCAAATACCCTTGATGTTATGGTAATTGTCAAGAACACAACTCGCCCTTTTTTTTTTAATCCAAGTTTAGGACCAACAATAAAACATAATCACAAGAATCAGATTTTGAATAAAATGGAATGGCATCATGCAATTTATATAATCGATCATATTTAGTGAAATAAGAAGAGTTTTGTTGTTGTTGATATTTTAACATTAGATATGATTTTCTATGCATTTTATAACTTGCTAATTGAGTCTTGACATGAATGATTTATAAGTAATAAGTTTTTTTTTGGGTACAAATTTTATTATATACAGAATATTAATATGATAAGATATGTACATATATGTTTTGCTAAGAAGACATATTAATATTAATATATGGCAAAATCTATTATAAAACATACTAACCCTAATCCTAATTATAAGATTTTATTTGTAGACTACAAACGAGATCTTATAATTAAGATCGAAGGTAGTATTATTCATAAAATGAAGTCATGAGACAAACTGGACCCAGACATCAACCAGGCCCAAAAACCTACCAATTGAGTTTTAACCAAAAGAAGAAAGAACAGGAAAGAGCAGAGATTGAAAACAATAACTCTTTGAAAAATCCTCAATCACTTTCTTTTGGGCCTTCTACAAAGAGTTAAAATGCAAATTTTTTTTTTGGTAAACATTAAAATGCAAATTTATTCCAAGAGTTTTCACTTATAAGTATTGGGTACTCATAAGTTTTTTTAGGAGTAAATTTATCCTAAAAGTTCAAAACGATAACATTATGAAGTAAATTTGCACCTAAACCCTTTTTATAAATATTTAATTAACTTGCCAACTTATGATAGATTAGGTCTACCTAAAATCTCTTACCATTTGCTGCAAAAGCTATAGATAGAACCTGTCTGCTCCACCGTGTAAGAGAGTGAAAATTGGGCACCAAGTTCACTGAGAGCAATTGGTTGGGTTGTACTTTCAGTCTAAGTAATGACTTTTCCTTATAATTACAAACAGCATCATCACACGGCGTGAAAGAAGATTATCCACATGATGGATAAGCACTGATCAAACTCTAATTTAAATTTGAATAATTCAGAGAGTAGGCCATTCATGCAAAAGCAAAGAGACACACATATATACAAATAATTATGCAGAACAATAATTAGACCCATCCGTTGTCCTCCAAAGATATGATGATGCCATTGCCCGACATTGTAGGTAAAAGCAAAAGGTTCAATAAAAGGATGGTAACAGCTCATATTCCATCATTTCTGCCATACGTCATCAAGCCAGAAAAGATTTCGTACGAATCACACAGAGTTATGCATTTGGATAGCGAATAACAAGGAAGTGATCTTATATGAATTTATCTTCTCTGTTATCTATTCCCCAATAAATATGCAGTCATTTATATGTGATTATACAGGATCTAAAACATAAGGATAAAACCCAGAACTGAGTAGGGTTCCGGGGGGGGGGGGGGGAATCTAAGCTTCTAATCCAAGGCATTTGCCATCTGGTTTCTTTGAAAAAACGTAATATGAGCAACTTTTTAAAAGACCCAATGCACATGTTGCTGAACTGTTATAGAATATATTATCTACATGAATCTCATTTTTATTCGGGTAGCAAAGATTTAAAAAAACAAAAAAACTATACCTAAATTTTTTCCAATTCAAAACTGTTTTGACAAAATATTGAGCTCAGTGAACTATTAAGGATATTTACATTCTTAAACGCACAAGAAGCAAAATGAGATACTGGTAAATCATATGTAAGCGAAGCATGGTTTTCATACACTTAGTATACACTTTATAGTACAAGATTTAGGAGCTTTCGCAGGTCTTCCATATAGCACTTTGGCTGCGTCTTTTCTTCAAACTTACCTGGAAAATAAAGGGTGATGGTTAGCAATAGGTACATGATGACTCAATATGCAAATATGGAACCTCTCGGCTCAGTTGAATCCAAAAGGCAACTACGGGAAGGACCCAACTCAGAGTTCCACACGAGTTTGATATGAGGCTGCCTTTAAAATATAAAAGGACAGCGGTGGAATTTTCTCTGGAAAACTCAATCATGTCTTGTTGAACTGTAAAAGATTTCCACTTATTGTTGTAATTTTTTTATTATAAAACTTGACAGCAAATACTTAAAACTTGTATCCCAAACTGTTCATTGAGTTGGTATCAGCTACTATCCCATTGATAAGAAAGGAACATTGATCATCCGCCAAAATACAAAAGAAATCTCATTGATGAACAAGCAGTTGACATTTCCATTCTTTGAAAAGAACTAGAACATACATGCTCGATTTGCGAACTTCAGTTGAGGTACGCTTGAAGACGAGGAAGAAAACTATTAAAACAGTTCAGATTTCAGACGTTCCCAAATGATCAGACTAAAATTATTAACTAAATTCTTTTGGCAACTCATGAACTCCACAGATCAATACTTCGACTTATCTGTCAAATTTGATTGCAATCAGATAATACAATAACAGCAAGACACACTTTCATTTTAACTAGATTAGCAACCTAACAGCTAAGGTGCTAAAAGTTAAATTATTAGTCTTATACAAATTGCATAATACTGACAGAGTTTTTATACAGCAACAGAGTTATACAGAAAGTAAAAGTTGTGTTCTTTCACCCCAGAAAATTGTAAGAATTCCAACGGTCTACATCAAATCCACTTGCCAAACAGTCCCAGGTTTTTATTTATATCATGTATGATACAAGAATATACCCATTAGAAACTTAAGGGTGAAATCATCACACTTGGTTCAGTGAATAACCTGATAAGCCTATGACTTAAGATTTATTGCTCAAGCATGCCTTCAAAGACTAGCTTCTTTATTAAAATCAACGTGATGACAAAGAACAAGTCTTACACCATACCTTAGCAGATGAGGGGGGTAAGGAAGACCCACGAACCGGGTTTCTCAGCTGTTTAATCTCTTGAAGATGGTTTGCTATCTCCTCCAGAAGCTTCAGCTGAACCTTTTTACTTTCTTCATTCTCTGAAAAGAAAGTCAATTTTTCTTTTTCATGCTTTAGCATCCTCAGTCTTTCTCCAAGCATCTCAATCTCAGAGCCAATCTTTAACTTTTCATCAATGTTGGCATCAGCACCATCATCACTTTCTGCCTTACTTGCCATAGGAAAGTCACTCACTGCAATACTGTTCAGAACTTCAAGACTTCCTGAAGTGAGATTATCTCGAGGTTCATCTGAAGCAGTATTAAATGAAACGCCATTTGTCTTTTGAACTTCCTCCTTCTTAAGTTCTACGTTGTCATCTATGACATGTACATCAAGAACATCTGGCTCAGTATCAAGGCAAGAACTGAGCAGAGTCCCATGATACTGATCCTTGAGTTGTCTGCTTTTCTTTATCTCTTCATCATTTATTTTGATACAAGTTTGATCCACTGTATGATTTGATTGAAGATGTGCAATCTTGGCCATTGAAATGGAACTGTCAGTCTGCAGGGGAGATTCATGTGTTTCAACTGAAAATGATATCTTTTGTCCCAAATCATCTAGCTGAAAATTTGACTTTCCATTTGGTTGCTCAATTACTCTTAAATTCATCTGTCTATAGGTCTCAAGTTCCTTTTCAAGAAAGTGATTCTCCCTTTCCCTTCTTATAAGAATTTCTTGCAGAATATTCATCTCTTCTTCCTCATAAGCAACTCTTTCTTCTATCATCCTCTGGTATTGCCTGGTTTCAATTTCTATGAAAGCCTTCTCTTCCTGCAGACGAGATATCATTGCCATCGCTTCATCGGCAGCAGTTGCAGCAGCAGACCTCTCTTTCTCTAGCTCTAAGCAAAGAGCAGCATAGGCAGCTTTCTCTTCTTCAAGTGCTGCCTCCAACATCTTGATACGGCTCTCTCCACTCTCAACAACCTGCACCTTGTCTTGCCCATTACTCATGTAGATTTCAGTTGAGGATGAGGATTTGTCCCGTGGTGGGCTATCAACCAGGGATCCACGAAATTCATAGCTGCGGCAGGTTCTTTCTTCCATATCATGATCCATGTGAGCATCTTTGACATCTGAGTAGAAGAATCACGACAACAGAAAGTTAAAAACCAACATCCAGCATGCACAACAAAATAAAATATAGTGATCAGGTTTTAAATAAAATTCGACCACATATAATTGCTAATCAAACTCAATTTTTCATCCACTTGCCAAAGTAGTTTGAAATCAAAATAGCTACTACATATCAATGTAATCGCAATTAGTTGAACTTTTTTTACAATTTCAACCAGGAAGGATTGAATGAATTATAAATCCATTAACATAAGGTAGCTCAATGCTGCAGAAGAATCCATATTCACATTAAGAATATGCCAATTGAACAAAAATCATAGACAAAGAATAATATAAGCAAAGATCATTTCTCTCACTTACCAAGTAAACTAACTTCTCTCCCTGAAGTAGGATTCGTTTCAGTCGTTTTACTTCCAATTGCATCACCCTCATAAGGCAAGGAGGAAACCCGGGTAACATCAGACCGAGGATTTTCAGAAGGAAAAACTGAAAAGAACTTCCCGCATTCGTAATTACCCTTCCTCCTCCTCCGAATTCCTGACCTTTTTCTCAGATTGACAGTTCTCTTACCCTTAGTATCATATCCATTTTCCCTATCAGTTGAGGCAAGCAAATGTGGGCTAGACCATGAACTGCAAGATGCCTCATCTTCCAAATCGCGAAGCTCATTCGCAGATTTCTTCTGTGCAGTTATTTTCTCATTCAAAGTGCATGTATGATCCTTAACCCTCACCAGATCATAAGGAAACCTCTTTACAGCCATCACCTGAATTGAGCATATCTTTCTTAACGGCCAGTCATAAAGCACTTTATGCAGACAGAAATCACCATTCTTATACCCCAAAACTCCCTTACAAGGACACGGCAAGTAAAGTCCGAAAAGCATCAAGAATTTCGAGGCAAAGAAAGCAACAGCCGATCCACATAGCAAGAAATAGGCAAGAACTAGGTCAATAAAGGCTCCCACAAGACCTCCCAACGTCCAAGAATGAATTTCCCGAAGAGCCATCCTTCTCTAAAAAGCTCAGAAACCCATAGAATTTCACGCGGAATCTCAAGAAGCAATTGACTATTTACAAGAGCCAAAATAACAGAACATGCAGGAACACGAGTAACAGAACCCCTGAAGCAAATTACAAAGCTTTCATTTGACCAGGATAGCAAAACCTCCGATCAAAAGAACCCACGAACACAAAGCACAATTCAGATCATTACAGAAGACCAAAAGGAACCCACGATAATACAAGAAAGTTCACAGCAGCTCAAAGCTTAGCTCAAAGGAAGAAAATGAACGGGGGAAAAACATAACCTTTATAATCTGAAATCATAACCCCAACAAGAATCAACGAGATGGGTAACGATGATTCTGCCAGAACTTGAAAGATTCCCATAAGAACTTAAAGTTAGCGAAATTGATTATTGCAACCTCCATTGCTCCAACAGTCCAACGACCTTTTTTGCGTCGGACAGGGACTCACCTGAGGACATTCCTGCGCGGGTTTTTAACCAGGTGATGAAAGTGAAACAGGAAGCCGCTGATGGAAACGACGTCGTAGGAATGTTTTCGGCATGTTGGAGAAACGACAACAATGAAAAATGCACGTGGCTCATGAAGAAGACGAGCGAAGTCTGACTAAGAGATGAGTTGGCTTCGTCTTCAAGGAATCCATCGATAGGCCGAAGAAGTGATGCCAAAACTACGCCGAAAGCTCCAGTTTCCGCATGTTCCCAGTGAGATGGCGGTTGCTTATAGATTGGCTTTAAATCTGGTGAATTATCTCTTGTTTTTTCTTTGAGGTTTCAAAGGTTCAATCATATCAACATTTTTATGCATTTCATATCAAATTTTAGTTCTACTATTTATAATTTATAAATTATTAAAAAAAATGTGGAGAAGGCAAGCGTTGTTTTCTTAGTATAATTCTTACAAATAGCCAAAAAGAAGAGAAAATTACACTCAGGTCCCATATAAGACAATTAATTCACAAAAAGTCCCTCGAAATCTCAAAATAACTCTCAAATCCTCAGGGACCTGTGTGTAATAAATTATAATTATGAAATTACCTATTTACCCCATTCATTTACAACTTCAACAGTAGCTGTTGACAACCCGAGGAGAAGTGGTTAACAACCTCAGCAGTGCTCCTGATATCTCACAGAGTGAGTTGTCAGGGGCATTGCCGAGGTTGTTAATCACTTCTCCTCGAGTTGTCAACAGTCATTGTTGAGGTTGTAAATGAACTACTGTAATAAAATTAATGGGGTAAATGGGTAATTTCATAATTTCAATTTATTACACACAGGTCCCTGGAGAGTTAGGAATCATTTTGGAATTTTCAGAGACATTTTATGAATTAATTATCTTATGTGGGACCTATGTGTAATTTTCTCCAAAAAGAAACCAACACGCTTCTCACTGCCAGCCAACTTTACATAGATTAAGCTATTTACTTAAAAAGTTAAAATTAATTGTTTTTAATAATTTTAAAATTATCTTTAATAAAATTTATTATTGAGTATAATTAATATAAGAGTTAAAAATTTTTTATCAATGAATATAAGAGCTAAACTTAGAACTTTCATCTGCTAGTTTAAATAATGAGAGCATATATGTCAACCTAAGTTGATAGAAAATATTTTATTTAACTGCAATATAACTGTTGACTAAATTATATAATATAATTTTTGATTTATGAAGTTTGCAAGAATCTTGATTTTAGTTCCTTAGAGAATAAAATGATTAAAAATTTTATTAAATTAAAAAGATTACTATTTTAAATAGAAAAAAAATTCAAGAAGCCAAAACTTATAATTTAAAATTTAATGAATCAGAATTAAAATGAGTACAAATTTAAGGAGCCAAAAAATTGTATTAATCCTTATTCTTTTATCTCCTAAATGTAATTCCAACCCCTTTCACTTGACTCTTCTTGTTATGCGAATAATCAATTAATTTTATTTTTTTTGTCTTATTCCCAAAAAATTAATTTTATTTTTAAAAGTTCACATATAATATTATAATTCGATCTTACTACACATGGCCTATTCCTATTAATTAAGATAATGAAAAAGTCAGGAAAAGGATCAACGCACGTGCCAATATATAAGCAAATTTCTTTTAAAACATTCAAAATGTGTTGATAGAATTTCACTTTAAAAAAAAAATGTGAATACAAGTACTTTTTTTTAATATGTATTTATTATTAAAGGTAAGTGACTTAAATGCATAACAAAATAATTTTGGTTATAATTTCTGCCCTCTCTTGCTCTCAAAATAGACATATGTCATATATACCCCACATATATTTATATAATAAATACTCCTCCGGTCCTTAATATAAGACCCATTTAACTAATTTGATTAGATTAAGGAAGTTAGGTAAGTTAGTTAATTATAAAAAAAGTGACGCATTTTTCCTAAAACACCATAATCATCTTTCTTAATACCCCATCTCCCTCTTCTACATGATTATGGTTGAGGGAGTATCCATAGGGGTAATTTAGAAAAAATTGATAAATATGAGAAATGGGTCTTATATTTAGGACCAAAACCAACTCAAGAATTGGGTCTTATATTAAGGACCGGAGGAGTACTACATATGATATCCAATCGAATTATTTCCTTGTGACATTATTATTTGCAAATTATGCGAGTTATATATTCTCATAAAAATATAATAGCAAGTGTCCTTAGCATGCTGGTGGGAAAAAAATCATATCTGTTACCGTTAAACTATATGCCTTCATATTGAATAAATATTATGCATGTCGTCACCTCTCCCTTGTGTTGTCTCTCACTCGTATACAGTCAAAATATTGGCTTTCCTTTAATTTGATTTCAAATGTAACTAGTTAAGAGATTTATTTTAATTTTAAATGTGAGACATTAAATCACTTTAGCTTAAAAAGTTATAATTAATTTTTCAACCAATCATATTGATTGTATGTACTAAAAAGCTCTAATCTTTTTCTTTTTTTAAAAAAAATAAACAAAAGAGACTTTTACCAGTAATAGTAATTTCCAATGTAAATGGTTATAAAATATATTTTATAAATCCAACAGATATTTGCCACACATGTACCGGGTAAAAAATCAAAAGGCACAAACTAATATTGAAATAATTTTTGAACTTTATTGAAATTTTTACGTTGAATATGATAAATTATGAATAATGATGAATTTAATTTTAATGATTTGATAATTTCTCATGATATCTTTTATTTTTAAGGAGGTTTTCTCTATATGACTCTTTTATTGAATTTGTATTTTGAATATTTTATCTTTTACTTTATAACATGATTACTTTTTATTAAGAAAATTCAGTGATTAGAATTTAAAATATAGTTAATAAAATTATTGTCATTTTTCTATTTTAATCATTTAATTATATAGTACTTTTAATAACTATAACCATTTATTAATAAAAATAGAGTACTATAAATTTAGCATCCGAACTCACTCTATGATCAGTTCCTGCGAGTTTGACAATCTTGACCCTGGTTTTGTATCATCATTTTTTTTTGGGTGTAGTGCAAACTCAATAGGTTTAAGGGTGTGTTTGGATGAAACCAAATCATGGTTTGGAGAATAGCTTCTGGAGAATAGATTCTAAAAAAAATAGATTTTGGGACGAATAGATTTTGTGAAAAAGTGATTTTGAGAAGTGTGAGTGTTTGGATAGTTGTTATTAGAAGTACTTTTTATATATACAAATTGGCATAAATTAATATGATAATTATAGAAAAAATATATTTTATGATATATTTTAATTTAAAGGAATAAAATTGTTAATAATATATTTTTTATTAACATATATTAATAATATATAAGATAATATAATTAATAAATAATTAATATGTATATATATTTATAAGATATAAGATTAAATATGTTTATAAAAAATATGTTTATAAAAAAAACAACAAGATACATATCCTATAGGCTCTCACACTCTCCCTTTTTCCTCCAAAAGTAAAAAATTTCTGCTTTTCCCAAAACCATGGTTTTAGAGTCAAAACTATGGTTTTGAACCCAAATCATGGTTTTGATTTTTTTAAGGGTGTTTGGCTAACATTTTTCCCAAATCATGGTTTGGGTCCCAAAACCATGGTTTGGGTTGCTTGCCAAACACATCCTTAGACTAATTCAAATTCGAGGCATGACAAGAATTATTAAGGTTGGTGTCTTTGACTCTTAGGTCTCGTTTGGTATAAAGCATTGAAAATAATGGATTAGAATTGTGATTGCAATTGAAAAAAATTACTCCTCCGGTCCTTATTATAAGACTCAATTGACTTTTATTTGGTCCTAATTATAAGACCCAATCCATTTTCTCTCTTATATTTATGCATTTTTTTCCAAGATAATCCTTCTAATAATGATAGTTTTAGCCAATATACTTAATTAGCAAGGATATTTTAGGAATGACAACACTTATTTATTATAAATAATCAACTTAACTTACTTCCTTAATCTCCTCAAATAAGTCAATTGGGTCTTATAATTAGGACCGGAGGAGTATTAAAATAGTATTTAGCATAAGTAATTGCTTATTATATAGGATTAAACAAACCAATAGAGGTGGGATTGGGAATACCACTTTTTCCCATGGTATTCTCCAATCACACGTACATGAGTTTGGCTAATTTTATATAACAAGTAATCTCTTATACTAAACACTTTTTTAATAAATTTTCTCAATTGCAATCTCAATTCAAATCCCTCATTTTTATTACTTTCTACCAAACATGACATTAGGGTGCTACATTTCCATGCCTCAAATTCGAAACCTGTGATTAAGTTGGAACGGAACGGCTCCGTATAGTTGATACAATTTGTCAGGGTTACTTGTATCATCATATTCATCCATATGAAGTTGCCTTGAGATAGAATATTATTAACGGGTAAGTAATGGTGTGATGGGAAACCTTCATGATAAACACTCCATAACCTTAGAAAGAAACTACTCTTTTAATCCTTAATATAAGATTTATTCAACTAATTTAGTTAGATTAAGAAAGTTAAGTGAGCTAGTTAATTATAGAAAATATTAAATGCTTTTCTTAAAATACCATAATTATCTTTCTTAATATCCTCACTTTCTTTTCTATTTGATAATAGTTGAGGGAGCATCAATATGGATAATTTTAAAAAAATTGACAAATATAATAAATGAGTCTTATATTTAAGATCAAGATCATTTAATAATTTAGTTCTATATTAAGGATTAGAGGAGCATAAGACATGAAAATAATGTTGGTTGTATTTTCATGCTTGGCTAACAATTTGTTTTGGAATCATGATTTCTTATGAAACCCATATTTTACATCTTCGTGGGATGCTTGGTCACTTAAAATCTAAGCTACGATGATTCCCATGCCTAAGAGTGGATTCATTGATCATCTTAACACATCTTCATTGGTCTCTCTTT